TGAAGAAAGTTTCATTGTCGGGATCGGACGATGAACGATTAACGATAACCCAAATTGAATAAACACATACCCATTTGCAGTCCTTCCTTGTCAGTGCTTAAGGTTTCCAAATCTGGATAAAACTGCGGATGTAGACCATAGAAGAGCTCCAATAAGAGCGAAACCCAAGTATATTGCTTACGAACTATGCAGTTAATTGAACCAAGTGAGAATTGCGCGTGAGCATGAAGCCGGATGTGTGGTCAATGAAAACAAATCTCACAACTTGGCCCGAATGCCTACTCACTATTGTGAACGGAATTGAGAGAGACCTTACAATTCTCACGGAAGATCCGATTTTGTGTGACAACTTTACACGAAGACCGCATGTGAACATATCGAAATCATACATACATACATACATTCATACATACATACATAAATACATACATACATACATACATACATACATACATACATACATACATACATACATACATACTGACATACATACATACATACATACATACATACATACATACATACATACATACATACATATACACACATACTAAAGACGTGGTAAAATCGATTAGCCGTGGTTGGCCCTCGAGCGAGATCACGATCCACTGTGATTCGAATGGTGTACAAGGAACATGTTTCACGATTTTACAGCACCGCAAGTATGGGTGATGGTGGTGCAGTGTTTTAGTCACTGTCACCGGCGTGCTTTGGACCCTATAGTCTGAGGTTCGAGCCCCGCCACCACCGCCCGACTTTGGTGGTATGGAGCTCTGCTGTCGTCCGGTTGAATGGCATGCCTAACCAATCGGGGCCTTATACGGTTCGCCACTACGAGTCCCGGGTCTTGGGTTTCCGGTTTCCACCACTGGTTGACACAGTGGTAACACACAAGCCTAATCCCGAACGGGACAACGGATATACACCACTGATGAGTTCTAATAAGAGTGAAACTCGAGTCTAGCGCTTTCGAGTGTATGGTTGAATCAATGAACTGAGTGAAGGTGAATTCCGAAAGATAGTCACTTTAAATCAATCAATGTCAATTATCCCATAGCACTACTCACAAGTAACCGTGAGTTAAATGCCTGAACTCTGTTTCTGAATCACAGTTCAATATTTGGGAACAAATATACTCGTTCGATTATTGCTGGAACAATCTCTTTGCCGAGCACTAGATTGTGAAAGCAACTGGCTTAAATTGTCTCACATTAAAACTTATATCAAAAGAGAAGTGAGAATTTTTATCAGACTTATCGTTTCCCCTTCAAATGTCCCATTTATGGGTGAGTCAGTTGGCTTCAGTCATTGTTCCCACCACTTTGCCGAAAAACGATATGTCCAACCGCGGTGCGCATTCCTGATTCACCTAGCCAGCTTGGTCTGTGCCCAAACATTTGCTCGGTCTGTCCGTGTGAATAGACGTGGACAGGCACAGATATTTAGTCCACTCCATTCCTTGCCCTTCGTCCCAGTCCAAGCCCGCGTAAATGTCCGGGCAGTTGGGATGGGACAATGGGCATACGGTTCATCAAAACATTACACGTCCGGACGCGTTTGGCTGGTTCAGATCAAAGTCGTGCGCGTCGTCCTGTTCGATGCGCCTGGTGGAGCACTTGGATTTACGCGCCGTGCAAGTTTGTTTGCATACATGTGTGTGTTTGTGTGTGTGTGTGTCTATGTTAGTGTGAGGGAGAAAGAGCCAGTGTTTGAGTCCAGACCCGGGAGGGATGCATACTGTTTTCAAGGTCCCCTTCGTCACGGTGAAACTTTCCCCGTACTGTGCTGCGAAGACGAAAAGTGCCTTCTTATTCTCACCGGAGATCAGGAACCAGAACGACTCGCTATCTATGGTTCTGTCTGCGTCACTTAGTACAAGCATTTCTCTGTTTGAATGCAATGAATAACTGAGGGTATAGTAATCCTTTTGTCTTTGACGGTTGTGCTCTATGCACGTTTTGACCGCCAGATGTTTGGTTTCAGGATTTGAATGTGTTTTTTTCAAACATGACAAAATGAGTCAGGGAATGAATTTTCACAAGTTGCTTCACATATACACAGATTTTTTCTAATCAGCTGTCATTCGGTATGAGTGGCTAAGTTTAGAACTCGTTTGGTTTTTATGGAAATCTACTCAAATGCACAAGGTTTGCCCCAACTTATAGTGGTCTCTTTGTTTGAATTTAACTGAATCGAAATAGTTTTACTTGATCACAATGCACCGTGTTACAAAAGGCATTATATAGTTTATAATAACTGAAATATCGATCTATCTATAGTGTCCGAGAAAAGGTCAAGGCATTTCGAATGAATTCATCACCGACGAAGATGACAACGTGAATAGTTTGATAATCTAAAATATTTTATTCGAAACAAAACCCAACTATTCATCATGTTTTCAAATTGTTTGCTGGGAGGGTTTAGACATACACGGTAACACTCAGCCATTAAATCCAAAAGGTTCGCAGTCAGCGTCACCGAGATTTCTCATTATTCGCATGTAACTCACAGTTATTTGTGAGTAGCGGTTTGATATTGATTTGAAATGATCAAACTTTGAACTTAACTTTCATACACCAAACTCAGTTCTCCCAGTCAACTATACACTCGGAAGCACTAGATTCGAGTTTCGTTCTTATTAGAGCTAATCACCAGTGCATATCCACCGTCCTGTCTGGGATTTGAACTCCAGAACCAACGCATGGAAGGCGTGTGTGCTACCACCGTGCCAGCCAACTCATACCATGACTGAACCAAATAGCCAATTCATGTTTGTTCAGGTGTTGTCTTTGATGATAGTCAGTCAGTTCACTTTTGGCGCNAAGGGAGACACAGTGGATTGTCTGTTTACTCCAATCGAAAGTCTCATTATATTCTAATTATATTGTTCCTTTTAATTCAAAAATCGCATTGAGTTAAGCGCAACAAACAAAGATTTGATTACAAGGTGAATTTTGTCTCAAAAACGACAATTGAAGTCTGAACGGGAAAGCTATAAATCAGATGTTACAGTTATTCTGATCCGATTCGATCACACTCCGCAATGCGAATTCACCGACCTAGCTGGGGATGGAGCCCTGAACCTCTAACTGAGTCATCAATCAAAGACTAGCAAAGATCAGCAAGGACTAGTGCTGGTAAGCTCGGAGAGTAACGACCACACTGAACCTGCCAATATGAGCTGTGCCTAGTCGTTNTCTGATCGGCTGCCCGGTGGCCGGATGGGCAGCATGATGCCTTTCGATATGTGAGGACCCGGGTTCGATCTCCAGTTAGGTCGATGAATCTGCACAGCTGTCCAGTGTTTCCTGGCTTTTCAGTTCTCTGTACAGAAAGAAATTCACCGGGAATAAACATGAAAGATATGCCTAATGGTTGTACAAACGGAAATGCACTACCACCCCAAAAAGCATATTATAATAATATGAAATCTTGTCTGAGGGAGGAAGACAAGGCAGCCAAAGCTACATTCCATTGTTGTGAGTAGTGTGTGTTTTACTCGCACTAAAGAATGTGATTGGCGGTTTCCCTCAACGGTCAAAAATGAATAAAACCTCTTGAAGCGGATTACTGTGTTCAAAATGTTAACTACTGAAAATGCTCTTCTGCCGTCGGGCCGTTCCACCAATTATCCTGTGTGGTTGTGAGAATTATGAAAACCTGTTAAAAATGAAACATTTTGGTATATACACGCCAATCTATTAGTACCGTTATTGTTGTTCATGACGACTAGCTCTCCTCGTTCCGGCCCTGTAACGGGGATTTCTAACACTCACTACAAATTGGTTGCAAAGATTGTCCCTCACATTGCAATGGCTGTATAGAAGGACTAGAACCAACTGGAATCACCAATATTGATGGTTAAGCATTTCTGTAATGCATTGCTTGATGGACTATGGTAGAAACTAGATTTTATTTTTACATATAAAGCCATATTTGTTAGAACACAATCATCAGTCAATTAGTATAGGCATAGTGCTTTTGAAAAATTAAAGATATTTGGCCGCCGAAATGATGTGTATCGTGAACAGTTAAAGATAAAATCGTTAATGTCCACCATTAAGTCTATTTCCATCTCGATATCCCTCTTGTCATTGTCTATTGTCTACACAACGCCTCTTGTTTACGACAGCAATTCAAGAACCGCAAACTGTCCTGTGACTCGTGCAACCAATCGAAATTCCTGGGCAGCTCAACTCCGTGTCAGTGGCCTTCCATTGAAAGAGACTAATTTGGACACAACACACGAGTTTGATGCCTCTAATCTAAAGTCTCCAGTAGCAAGAAATAGTTGGTCTGTCGGTCCATCGGCAGGGCGTCCGACCTCGGTAGTCCTGGTTCCCAATCCCGTCTGTCTCCCTCCTCCACTTGG